GCTGCTTGGCCTGCTGTGTTCATCCAGCCCTGCACCTTGTTGTCTCGACTCCACAGTAAGCTTTCTTCTGGTTCCTCAGCAAACATTTGTGACCACACATGTCCAATATACCAACTGGGGGTGGGTATCATACTGGATTTTGAATTGTTTTTTGATTTTGGACAATCAATCTGTACAGAGTCTGATACTATTGAAGACCTATAATAAAGGCTTTGAATATACTAAAGACCCTGCAATTCACCCTGATGATAAACTAGCATACACTTCAGCTTTTGGACAGCTGGACTTTAGATATTGTACTTCTAACAAAATCAACCTTTCTCAAAAGAAATTCTATTTATAAAGTGTCTCTAGTATTCATTGAGCCTGACAATCTTATATTAAAAATTAGTAGTGGCTTCCGAAATCGTACACCACCCAGTTCTTCAACACTGCACTTTTCAGTTTAAATTTCATTAGCAATATGAAAATTATAGTTATCCTTAGATAAAAGCTGATGGAAACATGTGGAAACTTACAGGATTGATAGTTTTTGGATTTAGCCGGTCACTGGGCCTGGGATATGGTTTAACAGTAGCAGCTGGAGGATTACTTGCTGCTGACTCAGCTGTCTTCTTTCTCAGTACAACTTTGGACTTCTCCCGAGATGACAACGACATTCTTTTCACATAACTTTCAACTGCATAGAAGAGAAAAAAAATACTATTTATTCTTAAAACAAAAATGCTACTTCATGCTTTTTGTGGCTCTGGCACATGACCTGAGAGCCAGTTTCCTCCCAACAGTCAGGCAATGTCGATCCAATACGATATATGATATGACAAATTTTTCCAAGTGACCATTAAGATTGCTTTAAGGTTTCCTCTCATTTCAAAAAGCATTCTATAATAATAGGGGAAAAATGGAGTCTTCTCGTAAAAGATTATTTCATATGGTTGGAAAGTTGACAATCTACAATGCTCCAAGGGAATGAGGGCAAAGGTTGAGAAATTTAATCTCATTGTGGGAGCAATAGATCCCTGTAAATAGGACAGATTTCCCATGGTTATGTCATCATGAATATCATATAACTGTGTGATTTTAAAGGATGTGCAAAGACACATATCTTCACTTCACAGTTTCACAACATTTTTACAGCACAGGAGGAGGCCATTTGGCCCATCATTTCTCCGTTAGCTCTCCAAATGAACGTGTCCCTTAATGCCGTGCTCCTGCATTTTCTCCATAACCATGTACATCAGTCCTTTACAAATAAAAGTCTAACTTCCTTCTGATTGCATTGACCGAACTTTTAATATGCCTGAGACATATTCTCAGGGAGTCCATTCCAGAGTCTAACTACTTACTGTGTGAAAGCAACAAATGCTGGAGATCACAGCAGGTCAGACAGCATCCATGGAGAGAGAGCAAGCTAACGATTCGAATATAGATGACTCTTCATCAGTGCTGAAGCTGAAGCTCTGATGAAGTCATCGAGACTCGAAACATTAGCTTGCTCTCTCTATGGATGCTGTCTGACCTGCTGTGATCTTCAGCATTTCTGGTTTTCAGTACAGATTCCAGCATGTGCAGTAATTTGCTCCTACTCACTGTGTGAATAAGATTCTTTCTCATATTGCTTTTGCTTCTTTTGCCAAGTATTTTAAATCTGTTCCTCTTATTCACAATCCATTAGTAAGTGGAAACATTTTCTCACCAACTACTCTGTTCAGACTCTTCGTAATTTCAAATAGATCTAACAGATCTCCTCTCTTCTCCAAATGTCAACAGTCCAACTTAAGACCAAAAGAAATAGGAACAGGCACAGGCTGTTCAGTCCCTTGAGTCTGCTCTGCCACTCAATTGAATCATGACTGATTGGACATTCTTCATGTCCATTTTCCTACCTTTTCCCATAGCCCTATACACAAGGATTCTACCCACACAGCTCTCTGTGGCAAGGAGCTCCAAAAACTGCCCATCTTCTGAGGGAAGAAATTTCTCCTCAGCTCAGTCTTAAATCAGCGCCCCTGAACCCTGCCCTCTGGTCCTAGCCTCTTCCATGAGGGGAAATATCCTCTCAGCAATTGCCCTGTCAAGCCCCTACAGAATCCTATGTTTCAATGGGGTCACTTCTTATTCTTCGATACTCCAGTGAGTGGCTTCAGTCTGTTTAGCCTTTGCTCATAAGGCAATTCCTCCATACTGGGGATCGTCCTGGTGAACCTTCTCTGAACTACCTCCAATATTATAATATCTTTCTTTAAATAAGAGGACCAAAATTGCTCACAGTGCTCCAGATGTGGTTTCACCAGCACCTTGTACAGTTGCAGTAAGATTACCCTTATACTCCAACCCCCTTGAAATAAGGACAAACATTCCATTAGCCTTCCTGATTACCTGCTGCACCTATGTGCTAGCTTTCTGTGTCTCATGCACAGGTACACCCAAGTCCCTTTGTGTTGCAGCCTTCTGCAGTTATTTTCTCCAAGTTCTTCAGTCTACATTTATTAACTTGTGAGGTCACTTGCCCTCTTTCTGCTCTGTGATGTCATTTATCTGGTGGTGGGACATTGTACCCACTGTTTCTGTGACCTCGCTCAGTTGAGTTTGGATCTCTTGCTGTGCCATCAGTCTTTGCAGGTTCCTTCTCTTCTGAATAATTTTTCAACTTGAAAGACATCCATTAAAGCATCTGTAAATCTGGGAACGCACCATGCTGCTTACCAGTTCCTAAGGATACATATTTCTGACTCATTAGTACAAAATGCTGCTGCTACCTGATGAAAAATGCATGTCCCTTTAATCACATTTGGCATTTTAAACATTACTGAATTATTTTCTCTCCAAGGGTGATAAACTAACAGTCAATTCTGCTACATCAGATATTACTAAGACAAACTTATCCCAAATACACTATTAGATCCTTCAAACAAAATGTGATATGGAAAGGATAAGCCATGCCCTCAACCACTAACCTGCTAATCTAAATAAATCAGAGACTGAAAACTGCTAATCAATTAATTCATAAATATACTGCACCACAGTTCTAATTTTAGCAGCACTACCTGCAGTTAACTACCTCAATTCTCTAGAAGCAGTGAAGTAAATGGGATTGTGAGATTGCCAAATTGCAAATTCAACTTTTCCTTACAGATCACTCAAGAGATCAAGTTGTGATTTGCAACTGTTTTCTGTCTGCTGGATCTCCACAGACAGCCAGGAAACTCCTGCAGGCAGAAATAGGTTGCAAATCACAACTTGAAGGAATAATAGATAAACATTATCTACCTGTTGCTGCTAATGCCATGGAATCAATTCCGTAACTTTACAGATGACAATTCCAGAACCTCTGGCACAAACATAACAAATTCACTCCAACTCCAAAGAAGCAAGGCTTCAATTACTATCCAGTTGGCCTGAAAATGGTGGACCACTGCAAAACCTGTTAAGAGTCAACCATGTTCTGTGGGACTCAAGGCACATGCAAGTCTAACTTTATTTTTTTCAGGTAGAGGTTTAGGTTATGCCTACCACCTGTGTGAAACACCAGAGAGAAAGACTGCTTTCAGGGAGGGAGGTTATTGACAGCAGGAAAAATGTTAGGCTTACTCTACATGTTCAAGAATTCATTCCTTCCAAACTTACTTGCATTCCTCTGGCCCTGATGACCTTATACAAATCCATTTATGGTTTGCTAGAGGTGAGAGATTACATACATACATGATGCACCTAGCAGTGGCACTGGCCACAAATGCAGACCTTTGAAATAGTGCCATGAGATCTTTTAAATTCATTCAAGCAGACAGGTGGGACCATAGTTTAACATTCCATCCAAAACGTGGTACCTTCACACTGCAATGCTTCAGCAGTACTGTACTGGAGAATCTGCCTTGATTTTTGTGCTCAGGTTCTGGAGCAGATATTGAACCCACAACCTTGTTCGCAGAGGCAAGAGGTATGGAACATTCATCTCACCGCTATGGGGTCTGAGTTCTTGCCATATTGGAAGAGAACTAATTGCTCAAGTACTGAGACTTCCATGATTTGGAAATCTAGTTAGATTTATTGTCGCATGCTGCGCTGCTCTCCCATTCTTAATGTGCCCAAACATCAACCCCTAATTCACAATTCATTTCTTCTCAGTTCCGAAGAGTTAATGAACCTGAAGTGTTAACTCTACTTTCTCTCCACAGATGCTGCCAAACCTAATAAGCTTTTCCAACAAATTCTGTTTTTGTTTCTGATTTCTAGCATCTGCAGTTCTTTGGTTTTTTTGACACCATGTTTCTAGCGTGGGGAGAGCAAATCCAGAGACTACTAAAATGAGATAGTCACCAAGAAACCAAAGGGAAATTCAGAAGAACCTTCTTTACTGGGAGAGTGGGAGTGGAAGAGTTTGAAACCGCAGATGCACTTAAGCAGAGGTTCCATAAGTAAAGGTGAAGTCAAGACATCATTGTCCCAGAGAACCATGGGGCTGCTCTCTCATTAGACAGAGATGACTGGTGGTGGTTTAACCTGAGGGTCATCAGCTTTAGATGAGGTGGGAAGTTGAGAAGAATAATCCTTCACAGTAACATCAACAGGTGCAGGAATTGATCCCACGCTGTTGGCATCACTCTGCATCACAAATTAACTGTCCAACCAATGAGCTAACCATCCCCGTGCTATATAATCACATGAAGGAGGGGGAAAAAAGGTTATACTAATAGAGCGAGAGGAGGAAAGTTAGGAGGTGGTTCATGTGGAACATAAATGAGCTGTTTGGGCTAAAGGTTTCTGTGCTATGCAATACTTTTTGGAGCAGTTTGTGGTAAAGCCTACTTGGGAACATTCTGGATTTGGTGACATATATCGAGGCAGGCTTGATTAGGGAGCTGAAGGTAATGGAACCCTTAGGGGGTGGTGACCATAATATTATAGAATTCACACTGCAATTTGAGAGGGAGAAGGTGGAATCAGGTGTAATGGTATTAGATTTGAGGTAAGGTAACTACAAAAAGCACCAATAGGGTTAGGAGTAAGTAGCTGGCCACAGTTGATTCAGAGGGAAGCCTACAGAAAAGGCAGTGGAGCAACAATGGCAGGCATGTCTGGGGGTAATTCAGGAAGCGCAGCAGAAATTTATCCCAATGAAAAAGAAACATACTAAGGGGAGGACAAGGCAACCATGACTGACAAGGGAAGTCAAGGACAGCATAAAAGCAAAGGGCATACAATATGAAGATTAGCAAGAAGCCAGAGGATTAGGAAGCCTTTAAAAACTAGCAGAGGATAATTTAAAAAGCAATGGAGGGGGAAGAAGATAAAATATGAGACTAAGTTAGCTAGTAATATAAAAGAACATTGCAAGAGCTTTTCTAGATACATAAAAAGTAACAGGCTGGAAAATGAGGTTGGGGAAGTAGCAATGGGGAACAAAAAAAAAATGGCACAGGAACTGATTTGGTGTTTTGCATCAGTCTTCACAGTGGAAGACATCAGTAGCAATCCAGGACTTCAAGAGAGTTGGGGGCAGAGGTGAGTATTGTGGCCATCATGAAGGAGAAAGTGCTGGGAAAGCTAGGTGGATACACCACTGGGACCAGATGGACCACATCCAGAATTCTGAAAGAGATAGATGAGGAGATTATGGAGGCATTGGTGGTGATATTTCAGGAATGATTAGTCAGGGAGGATCCCAGGGGACCCCTGTTT